ATATCTATTCGTTATTGCTTCATATAAATTAAAACTTGCAGAGTTCATAAAATAGTATAATCAAAATGTACTTTTTAAATGCTTTATCTCTTCATATTTGAAACATACAACATACAAATATGCATTATAAAAACATGCCAACACTGCCAAACCGAAATATTTTTGACATTTGCGGCTATATTCAGCTTACTTTCGGTAAACTCAACCGAGTGATCTAAAGGCCGTATGACACTACACATTTTCTTGTACAATTTCTTGTATCATTTCTTAACCAAGAAAAAAATGCATAGTGTCACAGCCACCTTTACTTCCAAGCCATGAAGTAGAAATTTGGCAACAACGCGTGGTAGTCCGACTGTGGTTTGTTTTGGTTCAACATTTCATATAGGAAGGCTTGTAAAGTTTGTTGAATTTATTGTTTTTTAACTTTATTCGAATGTTTTATTTGTAAATTGTGTTTAAATCAATTAGAAAACATTAATATAAGTGAAATTTCATTAAATTTAGAACTTCTAGAAGATTCTTAACGACAGGCAAGTATAAATATAACCTACAAAACAAACTGAAAATAATAATACTTTTGCTTCTTGTTACAAAATATGTAAACTAAAAACAACAATAATAATACTTTTGTTTTTTGTTACAGATGCTCTGGCATTGTTGTGTACCTGGTTGCAAAACCAATCTCTATTCATAGAGAAGGCTGTACAATTACCAAATCTTCCATAGTATGTGCCAAACTTTTTCATGAAGATGGTATTCAGCGGACTGAACAATGAGAAGATAAAGATGGAAATGTACACATTGAAAAGTTAATATTTCCCAAATTAAAAGGCAATGCAGTTCCTAATATATTTCCTGAAGTACCATCAATCATCATATGTAACTGTTCATCGTACTAAAGAAAGAAGGAATCCCGAAGACAGAAGAAACTTTGTGCATAAGAAGAGGGAACAAGAGATAACATAATTATGTCAATTAGACTTAGACAATAATATCCCATTGAAAAACTGGACAAGTAAAATTACAAGTGATTGTGTATATTTCTATGTATTAAACATTAATCAGTTGGGACACAAGTGTGATAATATTTGTGTAATATGTAGTGTAATAGTTAGCAGTAATTTTAGTGTAATCCTGTAATCGTCAATGTAGGTAAGAATAGATTAAGTGGTAATGATTTGAAATGGATTTTACAATATAGTAAATTAACAAGATGGTCACAATTAGAGAACTTACTTACTCGATTAGATTTGCTTTTTAGATAAGTGATAACAAATTTGAGTATTACATTCAAAAATCTTTTGAGAATATAGGCTATTTTAAATCGATATACAAGTTATAAATGGTATGTTACATTCAACACATTTTTCATGTATACCTCTTTTAACTTGGTCTATATGACAACAAACCTATTAATATTTAAAATTGCTGCTTTTGTATATCTAAGTATGAAAATTCAACAAAAGTTATAAGTAAATAGTAAAATATTTAATTTTCAATTAGATTAATTTAGAACCATATTTATATTGTGTCTGATTTCTTAGGATGAATTTTTTAATCATAATAGTTACACTAAGTTTTTACTTATCGCAAATTTTATATCTTTTGTATTTTTAATAATCTTTTTAAATGTCCTGTTAATGTTTTGTGTTATTTATATGCTTAAGTACTTAAAATATTTAAAATTTCTAGTGATTCTTGACTGCATTTGATTGTAAGATTAACTGTTTGACACTGTATTTTAAGTGCAATAAATTTTACTCTAGTGATTATTTTATTGATAATATAACCTAAATAATAATAAAACTTTATATATATTTACTAGGTATATATAAGGTTTTATTAATTTAATTTCCCTAAAAATATTTCTGTAATTATCAGTTTCCTAAAATTCAAATTAGTTTAATATTCTGGTAGACCTTACAGCTGATTATCGGACTACCGACGTCATAGAATGCGGTGTTGCCTTTTTTACTTCATGGCTTGGAAGTAAAGGTGGCTGTGATAGTGTCATACACACGTACATTTTCCTGTACAAGAAACTATACAAGAATTTGGATCCTACACATTTTCTTGTGCAAGAAATGCGCGAAATATTGCGCACACCGCGTTTTATGTAATTTAGTTATGACTATGATGACAGTGACAATCAAATCAGCTGTTTTGCGTTTCATGTATTTTGGTTGGTGTGAATTATTTTGTGAGATTTATTTATAAAGTGATATAAGAATGGATATGGATGATGATTTTGTTGTAATAGCAGCTACTGCCCTTTGTTCCACAATAGCAGCAGTACAAAAATTAAAACGAAAAAATAAAATTAAACGTTTATGGAGCAGGCCTTGGTTATTGAGAAGAAACAATAATGAATGTAATAATGTATTAAAAATGTTAAACGAAGAACTTAAAACTGAAGACCCAAATGCATACAAAAATTTTTTGCGGATGACAGACCCGCAATTAGAAACATTGTATGAGTTGCTTAAAGACGACATAGAGAAAACCAACACCTTTTTAAGGGAATCTATTTCAGGACGCATAAGGTTTGTCAAGTTCTAAAGTAAAAGTATAAATAAAGCTTATTAATTAAGTTTAGGTTGCAGGTTACCCTCAGGTTTTTAGCAACTGGTGAAACTTATAGATCACTTATGTATGCATTTCGTATTCATGAAACCACTATAAGTAAATTTATACCTGAAGTTTGTAATGCGATTTACCATCGTTTAAAAAGCACATATTTACAGGTAAATAAAAAATTTAAAAAACAAGCACAACCTACATCAGATTTTTATTTGTAGATACCCAAAACTCCTCAAGAATGGGATGAAATATCCAAAAATTTTGAAGATATGTGGCAATTTCCAAACTGCATAGGAGCTATGGATGGTAAACACATTAAATTTCGTGCTCCTATATCTGAAGGATCCTATTATTTTAATTATAAAAAGGACCACTCTATTGTTTTGTTGGCATTGGTAGATGCATCTTATAAATTTACTTATGTAAACATTGGAGTGAATGGCAGAGTAAGTGATGGTGGTGTTTTCCAAAATAGCAGATTATGTGCAGCACTAATGGAAAACAAATTAAACTGCCCTAATGCTAGGAGCCTACCAGGAAGGGTTTTAAAAATACCAAATGTGATTGTGGCTGATGATGCATTTCCATTAACTACAAAAGTTATGAAGCCATATCCTGGCAGGAATTTAACACATGATAACAAAATATTTAATTATAGGCTATCAAGAGCCAGGAGAGTTGTAGAAAATGCATTTGGAATTTTGGCAAATAGATTTAGGATATTGTTAACTACAATTAATTTATCACCTCATAAAGTTCAAACAATAACTCTTGCATGCATTGTGTTACATAATTTTTTAATGGAGCAAAGTACTGCTGCTAAAGAAGATGAATATTCTAGTAACAATGGAAGTGCCGGAATTTTAAGATCTGTTTCCCAACAAAACTTCCGTTCAAGCACAACAGCAATAAAGGTTCGTGATGAGCTACGAGACTACTTCAATTCTCCAGCTGGAAAATTAGAATGGCAAGAGGTTTCTATACAAAAACATAATTTATAAAACAAAAATAAATTTTATTTAAAATGTTTATTTATTTTTATTAAAATCTTCTAGTATTGCTTCCTGTACTGCCATAAATACTTTTGTTTCCACATTGGTTCTTACTATTGGACATTTAATTTCCTTTACTCTAGCTGCACAGAACTGAAATAAACTGTCAGTTGCATCAGGAGTTGGGGGTTTTTCTGCTGGTACTTCTTTACTTTTTTTGTAGGTTTGTATAAGAGTCGCTACAGCTTCTGTCATTCCAGCAATACTTTCTTGTTCACTCTGAACTCTTTTTCTTTTTTTGCTATTTGTTTGCGTTGTGGGTTCACGACTTGATCTGGGGCTTAAAAACTCATCTATCGCATAGTTATGATCTGAAAAGTTCTAAAAAGCAAAAAATTTTAATTTTTCATCATATACATTATCATTGTAATTACTTACATCTTGTAGAGTTGGAGAACAAATATTAGAATATGAAGTGGATGGTTCATCATTACTGTCTAAAGTGCCATCTATATTAACTGTGGCATCTATTAAAACTGTTCCATCAGAAGCATCTATACTATCAAATGATTCCCTTATTTCAATACCTGATCCCTGAAGGTACTTATCAATTTCATTAAAATAGTATAGATTTGATATATAAATCTACAAAATATTTTTACATATTAATAATACAAAAATACATAGAATTTTAATTAAAATCTTACATCATCAGCTCCAGCACCACTTTTGTTTGTAGCAACAATTTTTTTGACTTCAGCCATGTAAGTCGTGCGCAAGGCATTAAATTTTTTTGTAACATCCAGTACTGTCGTGCCTGGCCTAACTAGACTTAATTCTTTAGCAACAGCTTCCAGGGCAGTTTGTCGAGCGTGTTTGTTTTTGTATAATACTGATTTTATATTGTACAAATTTTTATGCTTGCCATAATATTCTATTAGCATTAGCACTTGATCTCTTGTCCACGACATTTTGCAAATTAGAAATAGCTTTATAACTTTAAAACTAACCAAAACAGTAAAAAATGTGGTTATAGCACGTTGTTACAGTTATAACCAATATAACATAACATAACAAATTCTTTATTTGACATGTGACGTGCAGAGGAATGCATTGTAGCCACAATAAATTTCTACCAATCACAAGGCTCGTTATATTCAATTTCTTATACAAGAAATTGCATAGTCTCATACAGCTAAAAAATTAAATGCAAGAACTTGTACAATAAAATGTATTAACACCCTATACAATTTCTTATATAAGAAATGATACAAGAAATTGTACAAGAAAATGTGTAGTGTCATACGGCCTTAATAGTTCGAATGATCTTGTTCAAATTCTCGAGATATTTCAATAATCGAATGGTCGATTATTTTTCATTCGAATTATCCCATCCATCACTAATCACTATCACACTAATGTCACAATGTCAAACAAGAAGTAGTGACAGAAGAACATTGGTTATCTAATTTTTAGTTTGCTTAAAAATAGTTTTAATATGTATTAAAAAATATTACAATAATTAGCAAATATATTCCCATGGAGCATTTATTAAGAGGTCAATTTGGGTATGTGGAACAATTTTATAAAGTTTTAGGTTATGTCAAACTTTTTATCATTTAAAAATTGTAAAATGAAGGTGTCTCTTAAGTTTTGCGACTCATTGCATTTCAACATGAATTTTCAATAAGAAACAGAAAGTAGATTTTTACCATTTACAGTAATCTATCTAAATATAGCTACACAAAAAAAGGGAGTATACCATTCAAAACAGTATTCTTTGAATTATTGAAACTATTACAAGGAACAATAATGAAAACTTATCGTCTTTATTTAAAGCAAATGTCAAGTAGCTTTAAACTGGATAAATTTGTAAAAGTCACTTTGTAAAGAAACTAAATAGTCTTTAAAGATTTTACTGAAAATTTACAGATAACTTTTATGTCTAAGTATAAAAATTGGCAAAAGCAGTAGGCATATGAATAAAATTAATATATCAAGAGATACCTTTATTATGCAGGTTTTTACAAACATATAGTCTTAATTAACAAAAAAAAAATACCTACATTTTAGTCGAGTCATAATTAGTACATATTCCCATACACCTTTAAAGTATGGTCCTCAAAGATCTTGTCAAAGAGGAATGTGTGTATTGTGGACTGGAAGAACTCTTGATAGATCTAGACCTTTCCTAAAACAACAATATATTTATCAAAGAAGAGAATATGGTATGCTTATCGCAAGAGCCCTTAGAGGAGTATTAAAAATAAGATATTTATTACTTGGTGGAGCTGTAGCAGGTGGAGGAGCATTGCAAAAGGTAGATTAATTTTTATAGATATATAGGATTTATCAATATAGGTATACAGAAATTTTAAACTATACTCTGACAAGAAATAAGGAGGGTGACATTAAAAAATGTATCTCGATATACTAATTGTAGGAGGTGCAAATCAAATATGCTGTTTACTAATAAGAAAATCAATATAATATTGGTTCACATTTTGATAGCTCTCTGTTAATTTTAAGTCTCTATTCAATGCTTTTTAAATGCATTTATTTTTTTCGTATCCTGAGAAAACTAACAAATATTTTTGAAAAATTTAAACATAGAATGAAAGATTACATTATTACCAAGGGCCGAAAGTCCCTTAGATTAAACAAAAGTGATAGAATGATAGAAAAGACATTTAAAATTAAAAATCACACTAAATTTTTTCTTCATTTTCATCCCTATAACCTATTAAAATAAACATTGTAGAAGTTTTCAGGGACTTTCAGCCCTTAGTAATAATGTATTCTTTCATTAAATTTTTCAAAAATACTTAGTTTTCAAAGAATTTGAAAAAATTGACAGAATTTAAAATTATTTTATTCCAACTTAATACATGTTATTTGTTTAGCACAAGGAATGAATGGAGTTGCAAAAGACATTGGAAAAAAGTTTCCTTTTGTAAACTTTCTGATATCAAGCATGAAAAGTATTTCTTATATCTCCTAGAAGAATTCAACTTTATAAAGAAATGCTTCAAAATATTCCACTTCCTCCAAAACCTGTTCTAAAAGGATGGGGAAAATGGTCGAAAGCTTCTTTTTTCTATTCAGAACATTTTGTAGAGTTTAAAAATATAGTTAATGCTGTAACGGATTAAAGTTTCCAATCTCTGTTAGATCCTAAACAAATTTTTAAAAACAACATTCTTTAGCAATAGCTTTCATTCAATAAATCTAATTTTAGTTGGCTTCAAACAATTATTACTCAATTAGAATCAGTAAAGTTGTCCATGGTAGAAAGCATATTCTTAATAAAAGAAACTAGATCAGCTTGTAAAAATGATAAAGGTGACAATGGAAAAGATATTTTTCAAAAATTTGAAACAATAATTCAAAAAAGCAATCCTTTTTAAAAACTTGCTGAGGTAGCTATGGTTCTGGTTGGTAATGTTTGCAAATAAATATATTTAGAACCAAATATTTTTGTGAATTTAAAATATGCTCCCATTACATCTGTTGATGTGGAAATTTTCTAAATTTACAAAAGATATGTACACAGATAGAAGCCAAAATTTTTATCATATATACTGAATACATATAATATGTAAGGAATATTAGTTTATGTGTTTACTACTTTAATTACAATTAATTACTATATTACAGTTACCTACTTAGTTTTTAAATTTATTTATTTTGTTTTCTGATTATTCAATTATCATTAATTAGCCCAGGGAAATAAGGTTTTTTTTTCTTGACACTCATCCAGCCAGGCAAACGCCAGTTGTTTTCGGTACCTCTTCGACCTCTATCCAAGAACCAATGTTTTCTGCAGTCTAATTTTTAGACTTTATTAGTTATTAACAAATTAAGGTCAAAAACAGTAAATTTTCGTTTTTCATCTACCAGCGAAAAGTGAAGCATTTGGAACACATTTGAGAAAAAGAAACTTATATCACCTTAAAATGACGTATTTTAAATGTTCCTATTCTTATTTTTTGCTTAGATAGTTGCAAAATAAGTAAAAAATATCTATTTTTATAAATATTAATAACTTTTTTAAACATAAACTTATAACCTATATATTGCACATAAGGTTGGGTCTTGTGGTGCATAAAATAGGATTGAAGTTTCAATTCGATCAATAAGATAGTTTAAAAGTTATTTAATTTGTTTATCCAACATTATGTTTTTATAAGTCAGAAAACTATGTAGTTATAGTAATTATAAAGGTAGCTTCTAAAGGAAGATGATTTATTCTATAAATATTATATAAATAAAATAAAGAAAAATAATTTTAAATATTAAAATAATTTTGCAAAAACATGTTTGAATTTTTGCTTATAAACAAATAAAATAATTTACACTGCGCCATCTTCAAAGAGCTCTAGCTCCCTTAGGAAGCATTTTCAGACTAGCTGAATTGGGTTAAATTGTCTTAAAATTATCAGAATCTCCGAATCTCCAGTCTTCTTTTGTCAGGAGAATTTCTGGACACCCTGTATATATATATATATATATATATATATTATATATATATATATATATATATATATATATATATATATGTATATATGCCATGGCCGCCAAAGCAGGTGGCGCCTCTGTATGCTAACCACTATGGTGGTGAAGATTTAGGAGACATTCATTGGACTTTCCGAGTTTGAATTTGTATCAGCCCAAGTATCTGATGAGGCCGAAATGATTCATAACACTTGATTGATACTGATTCGAGCACAGGAAGTTTAATGAATTTGTCCCCCTAGGTCATATATTTGGCCTTTAACTCAACAAAGCGATAGCAGCTTTTGCTAGAAGATTTAATTTTTTAGGCATTTCGCAAAGCGCAGAGGACAGGAAACGATATCATTATATCGTTTTTGTTCAGGGCCGCCAAAGCAGATGGCGCCTCTTTACGCTAACCACTACAGTGGTGAAGATTTAGGAGACATTCTTTGGACTTTCCGGACTTTCCTTTTGGACTTTTTATCTCTGGATCACCTGTACTTATTCCGAATCTCTTTCCCTTCCATCAAATGTAAAGCTGCGATATTTTCAAGCCCCACGTTTTGGAAGCCAGTTAATGTGATATTAAATGTCTGAGGTGCGCCAAGCAATTAATTAACTAATTAATTATTCAATTAAACTTATTTAAATAATGCAATTATGATTCTATCACACTATTTAATTCTCTTATCTCAGGGTTATGCTCGTGCTTCAATATCTGTGTTTTACATATGATAGGTAAGGTTCAAAGAATACCGGAATAATAAAAAACATATATGATACAACATTATATATTGAAATAAAATTCACACTCAAATATCTTCAATAAAAATATCTCATATAATGATTATCAAAATTTTGTTCTACATATGTGAACCTTCAAAAATTAAAGGTCCATACAATATAAATTAAAATCTCAAATCAAAATTGTTGTTCTATATCTTCTGATCAAAATATTCATATCTAAAGCAATTGTAAAAATTGTGTTGTTAATAAAGAAAAACTGATGTATAGTAAAACTATCTCTCTGATGATGAGTTGTCCAAATCCTTGTTCCTTGTAGCCTACACTATCTATTCTTAGCAGTCCCCTAGGTAATCAGCAATCTTACAACAAATTGTTGCGAGCCTACCGTCTTTAATGATCTCCCTCAAATGCAAGTATCGTTCAAATTATGCTCGCCTCGTCGCCTCTCGATAAACTGAATCTCTCGTTTTAGCCTGAACAGTGACTCTTGGAATATAAGTAGAAAAATATAGCTTACAATATTTTACTGGATCAGCTTTTCTCAGATACACTAACTCCACGAAAAAACTTACAAACATTCACTTTTACTGCTTCCTACCTCTGGAGAACTACCAGAGAACAACGACTGTTCGCCTTGTACCCTTGGAAACCAACTGATTATCTTTTTTCCCTCAAAAATCTAGCTAAACTTTCCTTCCTTCATACCTATCCCACTTTTTTCAATCTCCTCCAATCAAAGCTCGTCACAATTATCCCCATCTCTTCATTTAGATGACAAACAACAATTTTACCTAAAATTATAAATTTAATAACAACTGTTAACAAGCTTATCGGTTTCTACAAAATAAAATATCTTTTATCATTTATTAGTCGAATTATTTGAATTATTTTATTTCATACTTTGAAATATATTAAGCAAACCAATATTATTTTCCATTTTACATAGCATAACAATATATATATATATATATATATATATATATATATATATATATATATATATATATATATATATATATATATATATATATATATATATAAATATAAACTCTGGAACAAGTTAACTTTTAAATTTAAATGTGCGCTTTTTAAACATAAATTTAAATGTACAGTTTGATCCACGCAAGTCTGGCATAGTCCATAATCCTCATTTTTAATTAAACACCCCTTATATTTTTAAAAGATTCTTAACAACCTGATTTCAACGAACTATACATGTAGGGTCTAAAATGAATAATACAAGGTGAAATTTTGAAATTAATAATTTATCACATGTTATGGTATTATTTTAAATTAGCTAAATACAGACAATACACTTCTACTCTCAGTGGCAGTATATTGGGAACAAATTTTGTTTAGTAATAGTGTTAACATTTTTTGTCATGAATAGGGTAAAAGCTGTCTAAGCAGTCTGCGAATTAAACTAAATCGGTAAATAATGTGGATTGTTATCAATCAGTTGTTGGTGTGTTGACATTTTACATTAAAATAATAAATTCCTAATTAAAAGCTAATTTCTTACAGAAATAAAAATGAAATATTTAACTGAGACCCACCTAATTGAGATTTTGATGATGATTGGTTACGAGGAGAATTGTAGAAATCAAGTTAAAGTAGGTAGCAAAGTTTTTTAATCAGAGGCATCCTCAGTTGCCTCATATTTCACAAGGTATTATGTCTAAAAGTTATGCACAATTCAGAGAACTTAGACATATCTACCATTAAAAAGAAAACCGAACTTCATTGAAGGTGAGATGAAAGTGGAGATTTTGTTAAATGTATCAGAGAATTCAACGTCAAGTTCACGTCAAATTGCATGTCAAAATAATGTGTGTCACACAATTGTCCTAAGGTGTCTCTATGTAAAAACTTCATATACATTGACTTTTGTACAGGAGCTAACAGAAGACGATCCAGATCGTAGAATGGATTTCTGCAAAAGAATGATGGATAAAATTAACACAAATGAAATAGCTCTTGGCACAGTTCTTTTCTCTGATGAATCAACATTTACATTAAAAGGAGAGGTAAACCGACAAAACTGTAGATATTGGCCAGCAGAGAATCCTCACTATG